GAGGGAAATATTGTATTCTCACTGCCTCAGGTTTTGGAGTTACGTATCGATCTCTTGTTGGTTCGTGACTAGACCAATCAGCGTGGCTAGTATGGTGGCTCGTAGAGGAGTGAGCGTGTACATATATACAAGTCGAAGAGTTTGGAACATCTTTGACTCTTGAGAGATTATTAGGTTAAGTTTGTGTAGCAAGACAGACCATTAGTGTTGGGTTTTGAATTATTCAGTGGTTAAAACGCTATTTACTGGTTTTTATTCGGAATGGACTACTTCCTCTGTTTTGTATTTACTTATTTTGTTACGGCCCGTTTAAATTACAAGATAAAAGTTTTTGCAATTGGAGAAAAATAGTTTACATATGTAATATCCGCGGATAATTTATGATTTTTTTTTTATCAGAAGAAAACTTTACATTTATAATACTCGTGAATTTAGTTTTATCTAAAGAGCTTGAAAAGAAATGAAGACGAATCACAGGTAAAAGTAAAATTAAGTCGACACAAAATAAAGTAAAACAAAATGATATAGTACACTTCAAAGTAAACTGAATTTGTCCCCTGCAATGCAAGAGCCTTAATACTAGTAAGTTGAAAAAGAGTCGATGATACTGTGATTGGTAAGGAGACGGGACTGAGATGTCAACACGTTTCAGGTTCGATCCATCTGTTAAACAAAACTAAGTCACAATATCTTGGACACTCACATGGATATGGACCCTTGCTTTCGGTCCATTTGCATATCCAGAAAGAAAATATATCCATGAGTTACACCTCCACATGGATTAGTTTAGGTCATTTGGCCTAAGATTTATCCTGAATTATAAAAAAAAAGATGATTATATAGTAGGAAACTACGACATTTTAACTAACAACGTCTTGTTATATCTAATTGGTAGTATTAACTTACTAAGAAAATTAATATAGTTCATGATACCAATCAAAGCTTAAAGCTTAAATCGGAGGTAGGTTTGAGACAATAATTTGTTTTTGTAACAAAATTTGTAAGAGTTATTCATTTGATATTTTGCTCTAAATTTTATGTGGCGTTTGTTACAAACATTTTTGTCACTTTCTTCCTTTCCTCCTTTTAGTTATTTTAAAATTAATTATAATATGAAAAATTAAGAAACAAACAAAAAAGCAAG